ACTAAAAACAACAAGAACACAACCAGAATCGAGAATATAAATAAGAAAACGTTCTAGGTGTCCACCGCAATAATCAGAAGCACGAGAAATCCTAATAAAAAAAATAAAAACTTGCGTACCATCGGAGCACTTGTTCTTGCTGGTATTAAGATCTGACTGCGCTCGGGCATCGCGGTGGTCCATATGCTTCCCGATACCCGTGGAGGTGGAGGAGGAAGATGAGGGCCTGTTTCTAGACGTAGAAGGTTAAGAGTTCTCTATAGGAGAAAATGAAAAGGAAAAGTGAGAGAGAGAGAAATCTCGAGCGAGAAATCAGATGGGTGAGGAATGGAGGAGTATGGGAGGTTGAGTGTAAAAATGGAGAGAGAAATTAAAAAAAAGGGGGGACGTACGGAGGAAAAAATGGCATGGAAAAAAAATTGGCTGGCTCGGCTTGTATGACTCGACTCGAAAACGGCTCGGCTGGGGTGGCCAAATGGCTTTGGAATAGTGCAAGTAAGTCTTCCTCTTTTATAAAAAAAAAAAAAAAAGTTAGTCTTCCTCTTTTATATATTGTAAGGAAAATGGTGGCGGATGACTTTAAGGTTGGACATTCAGAAGCCTAGTAGCTTTCTCTCGACTCTTTATCTTCTCTGTATATTCTTTGGAGTGATTTTCTCTGTATATATTGAGTGTTATTGCAAGGGAGAAAATATTAGTGTTTTTCTCTTTTGTGAGATTGAACTTTCTTTAAAAGATTTCTGTAATTGAGAGAGATCTAAGAGCATATGTTCTTGTAATCGGAACTTTGCCTATTTTTGGCGATGCTAGTGGATTTGAGCTTAATTCTAACAGATGCTTAACGGGGGATTAGACGTTAGATAGTGGTTCTCGAACCTCAGGGGCCTTTGGCAAAAAATTCTTTGTGTTCGTATACTTTCTTGTTATTTCTGTTTGTGTACTTGGTTTTAAAGCATTGAGTTGTCAAATTTTAAAAAATTGGGACCAACAGTTTCATTAACTTTTTTTGGTAAAGGACATTTAATGTGAGATATGGGTTTTTAGGCACTTATCTCTGAACCAAATGAATGTAGGGTGGTGGTTTGACATTGTCCCCTACTCTAAGTATGTTGATATTGAAAATTATTAGAAAGAGATATGTGGGCATTGGCTTCGTGGATTTATATTTATCAACATTAATAAAAAAACAAAGCCATCAAAATAGAACATGTATAAAAGTTGGACAGTATTTACCTCTCCTTTCTCAACCTAAAAGCTCAGATATCCCCATTTTTCCATCCTCACTATACCTTTAACTTCTTGTATAAAGTCACAAGGTATCATTGTCTTAGAACTTTTTCTATAACCAGAGTTTGCTAGATAGTCAGCTGCTTTGTTGCCCTCCCTCCAAATATGGGTAAATGATATTTCTGAATCCTTTGCCAATGGTGGATTTCCTTTAGACAAATTGCAGATGCCATGGACTTGCAACCTTTCTGGAAATAAGGTGAATGGAAACCATTGAATCTATTTCAACCAATACTTTAGAGTAGCCAAACTGGTGACCAAAACTTTAATCATGTACTTATAGCTCTGATTTCAGCAAGTAGGCAAGATCATTATTCGTATAAAACTCGTGGAGAGCTAGAAGAACATCTCCTTTGTATTGAGAATTATAAATCCTAAATCTATTTTATCGAGAGCAATCAATTCAACCAAAAAAACACTCAAGAACATGCAAAATTTATAGAGGTTCGCCTCAATAAGATACTACGCCCTCTTTCAACGATGCAGTAATTTGCTATGATGAAAAAAATGTTTACAAGAATCGTGCTTCTATATTCTCTAGGAAGGCTAAATTAGGGCAAAAATTGGATTTTACAAGTACTTCACTTCTTTAATACAAGTACCGGTAACCAATGGTGCCAAACTTTCCAAGCAAAAATGGAGATTTTCGAAGGGGAGAGCTTATTCAATATATATTTGTAGGAGTTTTGTAGATTTTTCTTCTCTCTAATACTGCCCAATATGAAGCAGTGGAGAAACAACCATTTTAAGTGAGGTTCCAGAATATAATGTCAGGCCCTTTAGTGTATGGAGGAATGCTGATGATTTCTTGTACAATTTATAGTTTCCGCTTTGTTGTTCATATTTATGAAAATCACTAACAGATACCACATTCTGTTAGGAACAGTTGTTTCCGTCTAGAAGAGTTAAGGCAAAATCTTGGGGAAATTTGCGCCGTTCTGCCGCTATCTTTTCCCAATTGAAGGAAGAAATAGACCAGTTGAAATTCATTCAAACTGCTTAAAGTAATGCTAACAATTGATTTAGTTCTGCAGTTTCATTTATTTATTTATAAATTTCATAGCTAAAAAGATGTAGAAACACAAAGATATGACATAAACGGAAGAAGGAAGTGCAAACTTCGAATCTTTACACATTGCCAACTATAGTTGAACGCATAAAACTTTAATTTTAGCTAAAAACATTCATTACTTCAATACTTCGTTCACACGTATGTATTTGGAGTCCCATTGGCGGGTGTGGGTGCAGATTCAACCTTTTTGCCTCTTTCACTTCTGCTGTTTTCGGAGAATTTCATGCTTGCCATGTGAATACCTCTCTCTTTCTCTGCTGAATCCCATTCACCCATGTAGTAGTCTTCTTCTGTTGTACCTTTAGAAGATGGACCACAAAACATTCCACCCCACTGGGGGAAGTATATCAGCATGATTGCGAGGGTGCAGCATAAGATCATGACCCCCATAAGTGTTATCCCGGTTTCTGTCGAGTATCTTGATCCTCTAAAGAAAATTACTTGAGTTAGAACTGCACCTACGTTTCCACCTCCACCCGTCATCCCAGATATAATGCCCAAAGACCTGATGAGTCAACATTAAGTCGATCAGTAATCAAGGAAATAAGTGTACATTATCATTAGGCTCCACACAAACAACATAGTGATAGAATGCGAATGACTTTTAGAGAACATACCTTCTTGAAACGAAAGGAACTATCCCGAAAGTAAGGCCACACGCAGCTTGAACAAAGACGGAAAATATAATCATTACAGCAATCGACACACTCAAAGATCCTACTCTGCCTAAAAGAATGCAGAAAATGCCACCCAATGTCTGCAATATCCACAGTGCCCATAGCCTTCCCCTCATTCCATACCTCTTTGCCATAATATCTGATAGAATCCCTCCTCCTGGTCTTGAGAATATATTTGACAATCCAAAACTGGCTGCAATAATTCCAGCTGTATGAAGGTTCACATTGAACCTATCATAAAAATACTGTGCAATTATATTATCTATTGTAAGTTCAACCCCGAAACAATAACCGTAAGTTAAAGCCAAGATCCACCCTCTGTAATTTGTAACGGCGTGACGGAAAATCTGTGAGAAACTATCCTTGTGTTTATCTCCGGATTTATGCAGTTGTGAGTAGTTTCCATCGGGCAAATCTTGACCAAGGAAGAAAATGGCATATGCTGATAGAGTTTGAAACAGGGCAGGGATGAAAAATGCTATTCTCCAAGCTGTGAACTTAGTTGCACCAATATTTTGGATAAGGCTAAAGACGAGAGGCATGATCAGTTGTGTTGCACCACCTCCAAGATTTCCCCACCCGCCTGCAACGCCATTTGCAGTTCCAACGACCTTAGAAGAGAACAAGGAGCTCATCCAGAACTGAGTCGAGACAAATGTTGCGATGGAGAAACCAGTGAAAAATCGGACTAAAAGAAACGAGGCGGCAGAATTGGCAATAGCAGTACAGTAAACTGCTGGTGCAGTTATAAGGATGAGTGCAGCCGAAGCTAGTCGAGGACCGACTAAGTCACAAGCTGTTCCCATGACAACTCGAGCAAAAACTGCGCCTGAAACTGCTGCAATTCCAGCATTTCCAATGTCTGTGGCCGTCAAATCAAGATCATCACGAATGATTGGAAGGAGGGGCGGAGCAGCAAAAGTGGAGACGAAACAGGCGAAGAAAGAAACCCATGACAGATGAAACGCCCGCATATGAGGAGCAGCCACTGAAAATAATCTGAATTCAGTGGCTTTGTGTTCAGAATCTACAGGCAGAGCAAATCTCTTTTGAACGGATTCAGGTGCACCATAAGAGCCTTCCATATTAAATTTCACTGCACAAAAGATGCTCAAAAGAAATTCCGAGTCAGAAAACTTTGATTTACTGCCTCCCTACCTTTCTGGTGCAGCACAAGCGTGAGAAGTAACTGACATAAGATCGATAACTCGTCTTTTATGCACACTGCACACAATGAATTATGCTTACTTCCCTTTGTGCACGAAATGAGATGAAACTACAATTCGCTAATATAGTGCTGGAGTCTTGAACTTAACGTCGGTTACTATCTATTCTTTATTGACTCTGCGAACCAGTTAAAAAGGGTGTATTCACAAACAAAAGTTGTTGTAAAATAGTATTTAGTGTGGAATAGCTGATAATATACGACTACAGAAAAAAAAAAGTTCGTTGTCTTTGAATATGAAATTAGAGTAGTTTGAAACCAAAATCCTAGCAGGAAAAAATAACTTGTGTAGCTTTTATTTCTATTGCTACATATAAGTGTATTAATTTCATAAGCAAAATATCGTATTGGATAACCAGGAAGATAATTCGACATATTTGGAAGTAAAAAGTTGCTTAAAAGTAACTTTTAGTTTATTCTAAGCTTACCCACCTGTGTTTTTGGAAGGTTGGCCAGTTTCAAATTTCCAGATTCTGCGCACCGGAAGCTTGAAATCTCATACAAGTAACCTTTTGTGGGTTAGAGAGTCAAAGGTTAAAAATCCTTCCCAATCCCCGAGTCTCATTGTACTTGTCCCGTTTGGCATCTGGGATTGGAATTTACACATTTGAATACGTTTCATTTAAGATTTTGATTGTTTGTCAAGTTCGATAATTAACGACTAGTGGTCTGAATTCAAGGTTAATGTACAGTTAGACAGTGATGTCGAAGAAACCAAGTTGTTTATTGCATTGACTTTGGAGCCTAGGACAGATTCCACGGCATCAAAGGGAATGTGCAATTTTTGACTTGGTAAGAGGTACCAGTTTGAATATTCATGCTCATTGTGTAATGACAATTGCATCCTCCATTCATTTTGACGAGGATGATACTGTAGGCATATTTGGACAAACGTGACCACAAGTTGGGTCGAAAGGAGAATTGGTGAAGCACGGCGTGATAGAAAGAGCTGCCTGTGCAGTCGGCTTGGACACATACCGTTGAAGATTGTATTCTTAAATCTTGTATTAAGCTTCTTGTACAGGGGGATTTTTGACAGGGAGCTGTCGAGCGCCTATACGAGTAGTAGCACTCTTAAATCTTTCAAGATTTTGTCCGAAATGTTGGGAAAAAAATTGACTAAAAAGTGCCAAATAAATATGGTATCATTATGTATTTGTATTTTCTTTCTTTTATATTTCTCAGGACAAAATATCACTTGGACAAATAGTACTGGACAAAATGTTGCAATTTAGTTGTGGAGAGACAATTGATTACCAGCCACTAATGGTGATTAAGGAATGGTTGAGATTTTAATATTCTAGAAATAACTTTTTTTCTTTTGTTGTTTTTCTACTTATTTAAAGTTACCAAATTGTGCCATGATTTGACATCACCTATAATTTCAGTGTCGTAAATGTTAATTAAAATAAAGAAGCTACATTTACAGAATTTCTTTCACAGAATCATTATAGGGAGACAGCTCTCTCCCTGTGATTCGCTGTTGCCAAAATTGAAACTCTGTACACTTAAAATAATTCTAATAAAAAAAATGAAAAAAAAAATCATAAATTGGTAGCAATTTTATATTTATTTGTAGAGGTGGCAAAAAAAAATTACATGATGAACAAATATTTTTTAGAAGTAGAGTTATAGATTTATGTTTTAAATTTGATGAACAATTTTTTTTGGAAGTAGAGTTAAATTTTTCCTTAACCGTATAACTGGAAATTTTTTATAGCAAAAAAAAAAAAAAATTATAAAAAAAATAAACGGGACAGGAAAACCGCCCCGCCCCGCCCCGCCTTAGACGGGGCTGGGCGAAGCGGGGGAGTGGCGGGACGGGATAGGGGTGCCCCACCCTGAACCCGCCCTGTTGCCATCCCTATTTATTTGAAAGATACTTATTTTGTACTAATTGAGCTAGTTATTGTATACCTTGCTAAGTCCAACTTTAGAAATATTGAATTTCATAATGCAACTTGACTTATTTTATGAATCTATATCATACCAACTAACCCAAATATGGTTGCAAAAGATTAAGGAAAATTAAATTGATTTTCTTGCTAAAATGCAGTTTGAACTTTGAAAATAGATTCTTACAACTAAAGGGTGATTTGGTCATTTCAATTAATTATTTAATATTATTGCTATTATTCTATTGTGTTGTCTGCAGGATGGGATATTCATGGTGAATATAGAATCTTGCAAGTATCTAATAAACAATTGGTGATAATTTAATTATTTCATGTTTGAACATGATTTTGATCTCGATCTATGTAAAAAAAAAATTAAAGGGTCGAGGATAAAAGTTGCATAAAGTCGTTCATATCATTAGTAGACATTAACTTCCATAGATATAAAACAAAACCTGAATTGGCAAAGATACAACACTTTCATAAAAATATAACGCGATATATTTCAAGGATAAACAAATTCTTGCCGATTAATTCTCCATCATCACAAGGTATGAAAAATAAAAAAAATGAAAATCGAGTATCGCCACGAATGAAAAATCATATGCAGTTTCAATATAGGGTTTTAAACCAAAAATCCCATTTAACCCAAATAAAATAACGTTCAAGAATTCATTGAGTAATCTAAATGAAAAAATAAAATAAAAATGGGAGTAAATTCTAACCTTTGGAGATCTAATTAGGGTGACAATACACGACACTTGTATTAGCCATTGTTGATGATCCAAGTAAGAAACAAGTTGAGTGAGCAGGGTTGGCAATACATGACACTTGTATTGGCCTTTTTCTTATCACTTGCACTACCTAAATAAATTGGAGGAAGAATTGTAGCTTAGATTCCAAACCTTTCAAAACGTCATAGATTATATCCAAGCCTTTCATTTTTGTAGCCGAGGCCCCAAACCTTTTATTTTGATTGCACCTAGAGGACAAATCCATTAATTGACCACAAAAAAAAAAAAAATAATAACAATAATAATAATAATAATGTTATCTAGCACCAGTGGTGTTACAACACCAATTTAGGTGGTACCATATGATGACTCAATGAAATGTGAAATTAAAATATTAATTTAATTGTTCTTATCATTTAATATCACATTAGTGCCATCTAGATTAATAATTTAATACCACTGATTATAAATAGCATTACTTTAAAAAATGACATTTTTAACCAGTTAAGTGAATGGTAAAATTATAATTTTACATTTTTTCCAAAAAAAATAAAGAAAAGAGAAATATGCACCTAACCTCACCCACCCACCCAGTTCATTATCCCCAATAATGAAGTGGATGGGGGTAGGTGCATATTTCTCTTCTCTTTTTGGTTTTTCATTTAATTATTTTAATTGTTTTATTTGAAAAAAATATATAGTTACAATTTTATCATTACTTAACTAGTCAAAATAGGTCAATTTTTTAATTTTATGATCAATTAAGGAATTTGTCCTCCATGTAATCAAACTAAAAGGTTTGGGACCTAAATTGCAAAAATGACATGTTTGGATATAGTCTGCAACATTTTGAAAGGTTGGGGACCCTAGCTGCAATTCTCTCTAAAATGGAGGACTAATTTGGATGACATTAGAAGTTCAAGACTAAAATAAACAAAGTCAAAAGTGAAAGGACTAGATTTGGTGAAGTTCAAAAGTAGAAGGACAGAATGTGCAATAATTGAAGAAGTCGAGATCCATGGTCTTGAGCTTGTGCTTCAAGACCGTGGCTCCCCTACAACTCGTTCGTTCACGAGCTTTTAGTGCATATTGAAAGTTGTTCTATTTTCAATTTAATCAAGAGTAAATTGGGTACTTTTAAGGCACCAACTTCAAATCTCTTAAAAGACTACAAATAGATGCAATCTACTTCAAGAGAACACACGATATCATTGAAGAATTTAAAACAATACAAGGAGCTTTTCATCATCTCATGGATTTTCTTAATGGCGAAGAAATCGTTATTTCAAGATCTTGAAGAGTTTCATAATTGAGGGTTTTATTGTTCTGTTCTATCAAATGATTCGGATGATTATTTCATCCAATTTCTTGTATTTCTTAATCCAACCATGTTCGACTAAACTTTTTTTGTGGTTAGTATTAACGATGGAACCTTGTGATTTAACTAAATTCAAAGTTGCTCATTTGTGCTCAAGTCTTGTTATTGGGTTGATTGTTTATTATTCTCCTATTCTATTACATGCTTGATTATCATTGGATCATGTTTATGATTTATATTTCTTCTGAGAGCTTCAATATAAATTATTACATTGCAATAAAAAAAAAAACTTAGGATCCTATAATCAATAGAGATATTATTAATGAAATCATGGGAGAATTAATGCATCCTTATATGTTTGTAATTTAATTAGAGATAATTATGTTCACATTTAAGTATAGAATTAATTGACCTTGACACATGTTATTAATTATAATTGGATAATTAGTTTTCAACCTAGGCAAGAGTAAATAATTGAGATTTGAATTAGGATTACAAACGTGTATTCGTGGTCCTACTACTTTTCTTGATTGAATTTTACTTTTAAGATTTTCATATGAGCTCAAATCACTTAGTTTAGTTATTAATTAGAAAAATTAAACTAAAATATATGTAACGTAAGTCTTTTGTTAAAGTTAGTTTCGATTAAGGTATATCGATAATCAATAATAATTTATTCATCATTATATCACTTGTCCACAATTCGTTCTCTTGTGGGATAAATTCGCTACAGCTAATCTAGGTTGCACATAATTTGAAAGACTTTCAATCTATATGATATTATTATCTAATAAACAGACACTCGAGTCGAAGATAATACATTTCATAGATTGCTATCTAAGGGTTATTTTACTTTTTCAAAATAAAAGAAAATTACACCTAAATTTAAACAATTAACAATTCATCAAAGATGGTCCTAATGATTTTGCCTTTATCTATTTTTAGCCCACACGTATTTTTTTTTTGGAATTTATTGCGAATTGTGGGTGAGTTTTCATTTATGTGAATCTGTCTCTCAAATAAAGTGATTATAATTTTTGAAAAAAAAGAAAGTTAGACAGTAAAAAATAATTTGGAGATGATTTTGTTTCGAAAATTTTAAAAACTTGATTCAACGTAATCACAGAGTTGTTATAAAGTACTATTTAACGTGGAATCACATACAGTCTACTACTTTTAAGAAATTTTAATAGATGTCGACTACAAATATGATTAGTTGAATTAAGTAAAAATTTACTTATTTTCACATATAATAGTCACTTTCAAATAAATTAACCTTTTTTAAAACTTAAAATAAGAAAAGTAACATATCCAAACTTGTATAAAAATAGAAAATTTATTTGAAAGTAATTTCTTGTGATTTTAAACAAGTGACCTTTAATGTATTATAAAGGGAGTCACAAAGGTTCAAATTTCTACTCTGTCGCCGAGTCTCATTGTTCCTTTGCTGTTTTACAAGTGAAGTGGACATATCGGAATTTATTTTAGACTTACGAACTTAATTATACGGTACACGTGTTTTTTTAAGGTTTATTTTGGATTCAACTGTATGTTAGGTATATCATTTTAGGTCATTCTCTCATTTGCGCACATAAATAATTTTTAGTGGTCCGTGCTTGATTCCTGAGATGCACGACAAAGCTCTGTACTCGTTCTACATAATAAAAAATTGTAAATGAGTTAAAATAAATTAAGAGTAAAGATTTTTGCTGTCTTCTTTAATTTAATATTGCACGATTGAGCTATGATTATGACTTAATCCATAAAAAATTACGAATTTGTTGACATTTTTTCTTTTAGGAGAGTGATTGTTTGTGAAGTTTTTCATAATTAATTGCTAGTGGTCTAAAGTTCAAAGGTTTATGTTCAGCAAAACAATTTGTTTAATGCATTGACTTTGGAACTTTGAACAGATTACAAAGAATCCAAGTGAATGTGCAATTCTTGACTTGGTATGAAATTCCTTTCAGAATATTCATTCTTACCTTTTTTTATTATTATTATTTTATATTTTGAATTAGGTGAGATGATCCCACACAATACTTGACAATTTGTGGAAATTTAGTTGTGGAAAGGCAATCGATTAACATCCACTAATGATGATTAAAGAATGGCTGAAAATTTAATTTTCCCAAATAACTTTTGTTGTTTTTCTACTTATTTAAATTTAACACGCCGCTCTGATTTGACATCACTGAAAAATTCTTTAGAAATCTGTATATCCCCCTTTTTTTAAAACTCATTTTCAACNATCCCCCTTTTTTTAAAACTCATTTTCAACTATATATTTCATGAACTTTTATCAAAATCAAACCGAGGCTTACATATTGTCAAGAAAAAGTTATTTTAAGCACAACTCAACATGCAGGCTGATAAAAGAGAATTTGTTGGCATTCTCATATGTAACGAAAAATTTGTCTTTGTTCGAATTCACTTTACCTTGGTCTCAAGTACATTTTTTTCTCAATGCATAGCAATGAATTTAGAAAACAGGCCTGTGAAGTCTTTTGGTAAGTTTCCTTCTTCTATTCAAACATTATTTCCTTCAACCATAACTCTTAATCTTCTATTTTTCTCTTTTGTTGTCGAAGAATTCCTTTTCATAATAGAATTCTTTCTTTTGTTTCACAAATTTTGATTAAACCCGTAACAATCTACACATTGATCCAAACTTTTTCAATCATGGCAAGCCTCAATACCCATCATTGCACCCCTTTATCGGTAGATGCCACCATTCTTCAATCATTTCTAATTGATGGAACCAAATTCAAATCTCATCAAACCCTACTTTGCAAATTGACTTCTTCATAATACAATTTTCAATTTTCTTGTCATTTATCATAAAACTCGTATTGGTCACTTCACAATTTTGATGACACGGAAGACCTTATTCGTAACTCGATCACTACAACTCCACGTCTATGCGACTCAATCACTATAACTCTACCTCGATGTTCCTTAATCCGTGTAACTCGATTCCCACAACTCTACACCTGTAAGACTATATCCACCAAAGTACCACCTCAAACTTTGAAATGTCATCATGTTCACTGTTAACTCGATTCCCACAACTCTACTCATGTATGACTATTTCCACCAAAGTTCCACCTCAAACTTTGAAATGTCATCATGTTCAATGCAATATTTCCCATTTCGAACTTGATCTCCGATACCTTTTCGGGAAAAAAAATCTCACTGAATGCTACGGAAACAAAAAAACACAAAAATGAGCCAAAAGAGAAAAATACGAATTAAGCGTGGTTTAGAAAACTGTCGACAATCACATGAGAAGAATATTTTATTATTTTTTTAAAAATAAAATCTCACTGATTGCTACGTAAAAAAATAAACTCAAAAATGAGCCAAAAGAGGAAAATACGAATTAAGCGTTGTTTAGAAATCTGTCGACTATCACATGAGAAGAATATTTTATTAGTTGAGAAAGCCTTACAATAGAATGTTTTTCCCCACTCTAACACAATCTCTCTTAGGGATGTATACGATCGAGCCGAGCCGGCTCACGAGTCGAAGTTCGCGACTTGGATTTTTTTGGCTCGAGCTGAGCCAAAGATCGGACGAAAAATTGAGGCTTGACTCGGGCTTTAGACTTGGGCCTTATAGAGCCGGGCTGAGACGAGCCTCTCAATTTTTTTTTCTTTGTGGTATGTAGTTGCTCCACTTGCCTTAAGCAAGCCACTGCAACTACCTGAAGCTCAGGCTGTTGCAATTGCCTGGCTTGAGGGCTTGTCAAGCAACACAAACCGGCTCAGTCTCTGGCCGTCGCCCAAAATGCGGTTCGGTTCCATCGAGCCACAAGCCGAGTCGACGAACCAGATTGACATCTCTAATTTCTCTACACAAAACTAGAATAATCAACATATGTTGTAAACTCTCAGTATTTCTCTAGTTTTTCTATCCTAATTCACTTCTCATTGGCACCAAGTGGAGTTATTCTGAACAATCATGCTACTTGTACAATCTTATTTGTACAATCATGGATGACAACTTTTGTTGGCATCATCACATCCATTTATTTTTAAAGTTGTCAAAAAAATATTTTTGAAATCGTTAGTCCGGATTTTGCTACCTCCAACATTGTCGACAATGTCCGTCAATTAACATTGTACAAATAACTTAATTCTTATTTTGAATGGGTTGCCATGAATTTATAGAAATGACCCTTGAAATCTTTTACGAAATTTCATTATCTTATTCCCTTATAAAATTAAGGGTGCGTTTGACACCCATTTTGGAGAAGAATAAATTCTGGAATAGTGATTGATGGAAGAATGTGTGGTTAAAAAGTAAGGAGAATTTTTGGGTTTATGTGTAATATTATTTTATTGATAGAATGTGTAGTTGAAATAAGAAAAGAGAAAAAAATGAAAAAGAGAATGAGAAGNTTCGGGAAAAAAAATCTCACTGAATGCTACGGAAACAAAAAAACACAAAAATGAGCCAAAAGAGAAAAATACGAATTAAGCGTGGTTTAGAAAACTGTCGACAATCACATGAGAAGAATATTTTATTATATTGGTCAAACTCGAAAATAAGTTACTTATTTTGATACGTAAGACTTAAGCATTACTTTTATGAAAATCATCATTTTTCGTTGATTTTCGTTCCTTTTTTTTCCAATTTCACATTTAATCATTGAGTTTTACCTGACAAACAAAAAATATATATAAGATTAAGTTATACTTCGTCAAAGCAATACATAATATTCTAATTTAATGATCTAGATAAATGTATAAATTACACTTATCATTAAACATAGGCCTTATTCATCTGCTCATCATCTAATGTACAAACACAACGTATAGAAACAAATAATTTAAAAATTTCTATGAAAAAAGATTATTTGTGCGTGGCCAAGAGCATTGGTGAACGTTCTTCAACAATTCCTCAATCTTATGCAGTGACGTTCTCATTCTGTATCATTATCGCCAAGCAGACTGACACTTTTTTATGAAGATCTTCAATCATATTGGCAATTGGTGAAGCAACACCATGATCTGAAAGTTCATCAGTACACTCAGTGTCTAATGCCGCACTTAATTTGGTGTGCAATGAGCTGTTGTCTCCGGCTGCAAGGTGTTCCAGTCCTTCGTGAAGCATATCAGACGTCGTCTGGAAAGATTCCTTACATGTTTCTTTAATCGAAGGTGGCAAATTAGCTATTGATGCTGCAACGAAGCCACTCTTCGATTGAAGTTCATTAGCAACGGATAATGTTGCATTAATGGCATTTCCAATGGCGTCGTGCCAATTAGTTGCTCCATTGACCATGGTCGCGCAAAGGTCCTTGTCCTTCGAGCTTTTGCACAAAGAGCTAGCATCAATTGATGTTGCGCTAGCATGTTGGGTGAAAATAGAAGCGACGATGGCTAGTAGAAAAAATGAGAAAGAATTGAACTTTCCGATTGCCATGATTTTGATGTCTTCTCTTGTCTTTTGGATTTTCCAAGACAAAAAATGTTCCCTTCTCCCTATCGGAACTGGCCCTATATATATCATTTTGGGCCATATTTTCAGACTTCTTTGTGAACGTTAATTGTTGTAGACTTGAAACCACAAAAAATGTGAAGTTCTCCTTAGTTATGGCTAAGTTTGTGGCTCTATTTTTGGTAGCTACAATTTGTTTGCTTTCCATATGTGGGTGGTATGAAGTTAGTCTATGCGATTTGATGAAGTCAAATGTTGTTTATTTTAAATTGTTGCAACAACAATGGTTAATTATTAATGACATACATTTGTTAGTAACATTCTGTTGCTAATACTGGGCCGACTACTCCTTGATGTCATGACCGCCCACGTGGAATTTGCCACGGCCTAACATGCATACTAGAAAATGCAGCTACAATGACGAAAAATTATCAAAAGATGTTACTGTCGAGAATTTACTTAATCATACATGGTGAAATTTAAACAACATTTTCAATTCTCATCAAGGATCTTATTTGCACTTAGACAGAAACTGTGATATGAATTATACTTTTATTGAATTTTGCAAAGTCCTTTGTTGATTTTGGAACACAAACAATCACGATATGCAATCCACACAGGGAGCATGAATGAGAGTTATGATTTATCTTTTCTTGTGCTAGCAAGATAATGAATTTTGCTTCTTCTTTTTATTTTTTCCTCTTCTGAAATTCTAATAGTTTATTAATATAAGCTCAAATGTACTTGACCCGTCTTTTAATTCGGTTCAATATTTAATTAATCTAATTAATTAAATTTCGTCCATGATTAATTAATTCGGATCTGTTAATAAGCAATCCAATTAATTAATTGTCCAACACTTGTAAATTAATTAATTGATGAATCACATTCTTATAGTCACATTTGCTCATTTTCCCAAAAAAGGGATGCACTTAAAGCTGAAGAACAAGGGAGAAAATCTAAGGAATGAAGCTTTGATTAAAAAGTTGGAAAGCCGTTAAAGCTCCTTCAAGGTTACAATCTTATCCTTATGTGTGAGGATTTTAATAACTAATCCAACGACCTCAAGATGATCTAAAATCTATTATTCATTTGGGTTTAATCTTCGAAGAAAAAATATTTTTCTTAGGTTGATTAAATCAAATAACCAACACCAAGAATACATAAGAGTGGCTATTCGAGTTTCAAGGCTGTACACGACTAAAATTTACTACATAATCAAAACCACACAAACATAAACTTGAGCCCACAACTACATTAGGAAACGAAAATACAAGACGAGAAAATAATGCCATCACGTAAATAAGTGTGTGTGTGTATATATACATATATAGAACAACATACTCGCAACATCATAATTCAGATTGTTATTGCATACAGGCATTGAAGGGGCGAAAGCAAAGAGAGAGAAAAGACATTCATACACGAAAGCTAGAAATGACATTGAACAATAACATTTCTTTCTCGGTGGCTCTTGTAGCCACGACAGTCGTCCTCTTCGTTGCCACCGCCAACAGCCAGGCCACGAATCCCTGTTCCGTGGCTGATGACAAAGCACTATGTGTCGCCCTCGTTAAAGGCGCCAAAACCTGGCCAGAAGCAATGACAAATGCACTTGAGGCAACATTACAGAAGGCAAATGTTGCAAAAACAGTAGCTTATGGAATTCCCAAAAAGCTGTCTTCCACTTTGAGGCCACAGTCAAAGGAATCCATCGAACAAACATGCAAGGATGCTTATCAAAACATCATTGATAACAGCAAAGAATGCTTAGGATATGTCAAAAATGGAGACCCCATGAGTTCTTTGAAAACTTACTTGTCTACAATTGAGTAAGTGATATGACCTAGGTCCAATAAACTTTGGACATAAACACATAGAAATTATATTTGAAAACTTACTTGTCTACCATTGGATATACAGATTGCGTTGATGTGCTGAACGAATTTGGGGAATCATTGCCTGAAGTTTCTCAGTTTAATGCTGAAATGAGGAAATTTGCTGGTACTCTCTTGGCAATTGCTGATACCAATAAGAAAAAGTAGAACTTAAGGCTGTCTAGTAGAATGAATTTCTGTTCTTAATTCCGAGAATATTAGTGTCATTTTTGTTTTGATTGATTTAGTCAGTGGCTTTTGTAATACGGCATATTCATGCAAAAGAAGGGACAATTTAGGGGTGCCCAACGAGGCGAGTCAAGTCACGAGCCGAAACTCGAACCTCGGGCTCGGCTCGGCAAAAAATGGTCTGATTTTTTATTTGCTGGCCAAAAAATTTAGGCTCGACTTGAGTTTTTGGCTCGGACCTTTACGAGCCGATCCAGCTTGATTTTTTTTTCCTTTTGTGACAGCAGCCTACAGTTGTAATTATTTTTATTTTTTTTATTTTTGAACTTTTTATTTTTTTTTAAACTTGGCTCGGCTCGTCACTGGCTAAAAATGGCCCGTGTAGCTCGGGCTGGTTCGGACTCGAGCCGAAGCCCCCAAAATGGGGCTCAGCCTGGCTTGGGCTTTTCTCGGGTTGAGCCACGGGCCGTTCAAACCGGCGAGCCACATTGACATCCCTAGGACAATCGACAATGTATACCATATTATAGTAATAAAATGCGTTTTTATGTAACAATGAAGTTTATAAATGCACTTTTACGTTAAGGATCCTCTTCTGGTAATTTTATGGAAGATTTTGAGTTTGTTAAAGCAAGTGATTTTAAGTAATTGTTTCCTTAGTTATCGCCTCAAATTAATTCTTGTTACTTATCAATTTTATTTCTTAGGGCGTACATTTTTTTCTCAGAAACCATCTAAATCAGATCGAAACCGGACTAAACTAGTTCAACTCAAATCTAGTTAAAAAGTCAATTGATCGTGATTCTTGAGTTTTAAAAAGTCAATTGATCGTAATTATTATTATTATTATTATTATTATTATTATTATTATTATTATTATCTCTCAATTAATCAATTTATATGAATTTACATGAATTAATGTATGGTAAGAAAAATATACAGTTTTATCGTCCAAAATTTAAGTATGAAATTGAATGCAAGTCCTGATGAAGACGTTCACATACTCAAGAAAGCCGCGCAACATGAATATTGTTGGGTTTTGATTACCAATAAATTCTGAACAATGATGTTAAACAGTTTAGAATATATTTTATGGACCTTGGCCGATGAGTGGAATAATTATCAATACAATCAATTTAGAGAAAATTACCCAAAACCCTACATCTCAAACATACAATTCAAAAATAAGGAGAATGAAATTTAAAATTCACTAATCAGGCGTTAATATAGATTTAATAAATTAGTTAATACATATTTATTATAACAAACAATCCACCCCACCTCCACGGCCCACCCCAAATTCCAATTTCTGACACCCTCTCTCTTCAATCTCCACATCATCTTTTTTCTCAATTCATTTATCTCTCTTCAATCTCTACATCTTGTCTTTCTTCACTCTACCCTATTTCTTTATTATCCACACACCATATCCACCACTGCCACCTGCCATCGAAGCCAAGTTGTTGTCGCCACCACCATAACGTAAGCAGCTCCTTTACGACGGTGCACCGCAAACATCGCTCGTGTCGACGATGAGTGGGGCAATGGCACAGTAAGGCGTCGCTGTTACTGTGAGCAGTACCTCCTTGCTTTGCAGTCACAGCTGAAGTGACGAGCTGCTCGTAGCGCCGTCAACAGCTATTGCTTGTAGGAAATGTTCAGTTTTGCATTTTTGTTGAGCAATATCTTGTCGACAATGCTGAAAGGATAAGTTGTTCTCGCTAAACTTTCTTCTTCACCTCTACCCCTGAGAATTTAGGGTTTGGATTGATAAATTCGTGTAAAGGTGAAAGAAAAATATTTGAAATTGATTTAGTGTGTGGTTGTATTGATCAGATCTATTGTTGGTGGTGTAGGCGATTGTTTGATCAGATATGGTGAGTGGTCATTTCATCAGATTTGTTGTTTAGCCAGTTGTGATGGTAATTGGTGTTTTGCAAATGGTGTTTGTGATTTCCTGATTTGTGGGGTGGTTTTGTTGTTGTTGTTAGTTCTATTGGTGGTGACTGGTGTAATATGTGGTTGTATGGTATGCTGGTTGTAGCTATGAGCATGGAATTTTGTGCAGTTGTGCAGTATGCTGGTGGTAGTTGTGCAGTATGCTGGTGGTCGCCGTGGTTGTTTGTGACCAATTTTGTGTTGATTTTGACCGATTATGACTTGAGATTTATCTTGTCACGGACAGTCACATTTAATACAAATTTGGTCACAGATAGTTACATCGAAGACAAAGTTGATCACGGTTAATCCATCTCCTGTTGATGTTGAATTGGGAAGTTCATATAAGTTGGTAACTCGTTCATGGAAAATGCTGGGGGTGTAAGTAAGCTCATCTCTGATGTTAAGTGGGGTGCAGCCTGATATCCATTCCACTCT